TTATTATTATTATTATTATTATTATTATTATTATTATTATTATTATTTACATTTTTATTAACTCTGTATCCCAGCTGTATCCCCGCTCCCTTATTCCTTCCCAACACCACCCTCCCTCCCTCAGCTTCTCCCTGCCCCTTTCCAAGTCCACTGATTGGGGAGGACCTCCTCCCCTTTCGTCTGGTTCTGTTTTATCAGGTATCTTCAGGGCTGGCTGCAAAGTCCTCCTCTGTGGCCTAGCAGGACTACTCCTCCCTAAGGGGGTGGGGAGTCAAAGAGCCTGCCATTGAGTTCCTGTCAGAGATAGTCCCTGTTCCCCTTACTATGGAAAGCCAATTGGTTATTGAGCTACCACGAGCTTCGTGGGATGTAGAAAAGATCATTCTGAGTAAAGTATCCCAGAAGGAGAAAGACAAACATGGTATATACTCACTTATATAGACCTACAAGATATGATAAACATAAGGAAATCTACACACCTGAAGAAGATAAACAAGAAAGCAGACCCGGGGTAAGATGATCAATCCTCACTTAGAAAGACAAATGAGACGTATGACAGGAGTCTACCACAGAAGACATCTGAAAGACCCTACCAAGCAGCATTTCAAAACAGATACTAAGACTCATACCAAACCTTCGGCAGAAGGGGAGTTAGTATGACAGGGAAAGGATAGGAGCCCCACAAGGACCAAATATATCTGGGCACAGGGTTTTTTCTGAAACTGTTTCTCCAACCAAGGACCATGTATGGATATAACCTAGAACCTTTACAACCCAAGTCTTATGGAGGCATTTTCTTAACTGAGTTTTCCTCCTCTCAGACAATCCCAGCTTGTATAAAGTTGACATAACACTATCCATCACATTAAACAAAGTAACTATGTCTTGAACCCTCAGTCATCGGGTAAGATGTTTTCCTTCTTGGCCCCTCCTCTTGAGGAATTTTTGGGAACAGGACTAATAAGACAAGTACATTTTTTATGAAAAGGAACTTAAACTACCTCCAACTAATGGAGAACCTGCCAGCCTGACTGAACCCAATCCAGGGAAGTTATTCTTGGTGGTGTGGTTGTGCCTGAAGCAGAAGCAATCTCAGGAGAACCAATTTGGTTCTCTTAAGAGAGGACAGTGATAACATCATCAGTGATTTCATGAGGCCTACCTGGAGGAACCAGAACTGAGACAAAGATCCACTAGATCATACCTTGACCAGGGATACTTAATATACAGACCTCATGCCCTCCTCCCTCCACTACTCCTTTACTTTAATCCAAAGCTCACATCAGTAGCCAGGAGTCATATGTCCAGTCAATAGACCCTACCAATGCTCTGCT